GTATCAGTCGATGGTTGGAAGCCTTATGTACTTGATGACTGCCACAAGGCCGGATTTGGCATACGCAGTCGGAGTTCTCAGCCGATACAATTCGGATCCATCCAAGGTACATATGGTGGCTCTCAAGCACGTTTTCCGATATCTTAAGGGCACTAGGCACTGGAAGCTTCGTCTGGAAGGAGAAAATCCAGGAGGAGGTCGACTTCAAGTCTATGTGGATTCCGATTACGCTGAAGATAAAGACGATTTCAAGTCGACATCAGGGATGGTTATCAAGTTCGGAGGAGCAGTCGATTGGAGATCCAGGAAGCAGAAGTCAACCACTCAGTCGACCACAGACGCGGAGTAATATGCATTTGGCGCCACTTGTATGAGGATCACCCATCTAATGCATCTGATGGAAGAGATTGGCAGTGATATTCGGCCCATGGTTTATACGGATTCCCAATCGATGTTAGCTAGCGTCAAGAACCGTATTTACCGCGGCACTGAAGTTGCACATATCGCCACAAAGATCCACTTGGCTGCAGACATGGTACGTGAGAACCAATTCGATATGGAGTATATTGCAACTACGGAGATGCTCGCAGATGCACTTACGAAGTCATTGGCGAAGCCGGCGTTTCTGGAGCACTGCCGCGGAATGGGTCTGATTACTGAAGGATAAGTGTTAGATGGGATATGGTTAAGCATTGAGTTCGGCCCGCTTGTGATTGGGATATGATATGGGATAATCGCGGGCATTTACTTTTTGGGGCATTATACTGTACTGTACTGTTTGTTTGGTTTGTTTGGATCGATACCCGCCCCAGGAGGAGTGTAGGGCCGGAAGGGCCGGAAGTGTTTGTTTCGGGTATCTGGAAGGTTGCAGAACTGTTTGTTTGCTTGTTTGCTAGACTGATCCTTTGTTTGGGAAAAGCCATCGCCTCACGGCTTGTTTTCCTTTGTGATGGCAACAGCATATATAGAGGGCTTGTCTGCTCTCTTGTTTTAGATTCAAAAAAGATGCAATAGACTCAACAAGTTTCATCCTCTCTACATCGCTGTGCATCTTGCCACCCACGCACAACAATTGTTGGTCGATATCTTCGAAGGAGCTGAGACAGCTGTTATTGACCATCGCATTCTTTGGGCTGGCTTATAGTTTCCGGAATTCGAATATTCGTTGGGTAACTGGCGGATACACAGAAAAGGGTGAGATGTTCGCGATTGGTTTAAGGATGTATGTTATGGGACGAACTATATATAGGTACTTAAGTAGCTATCCCCCAAGTGGAGATAACTAGCGATAGTGCCTCGGCTTGTTCGGCTAATTATTTAGGCTTTATTCCACACTTGCGCAGTTGAACATGTCGGGGGGAAGTGCTCCTTAAACCATTTCTTTCGCCGGTCCGGTCTTTCGCATCTTGCTTCGTTCAGATGTCCATTCTTCACCTCGCAGCCAGGAGTCAATAGGTTCCTTAACTCTCTTAGCTTTTCTTCAACAAAGATTCCCAAGCCGAAATTTACCACATCGATGTCCATCCTATCACAGCCACCACCATCCGCAAAAACCAAGCTCAAAGCTCGATTTCTAGCAGCATTCGTTATGCGACAGTCGACACGCTCAGCCGCAATAGGCAGCGCAACAACTGCGGCCGTGATATCAGAGTCTAACACTCTTGATCCCAACTCGCATAACTCCGCTTTGGCCATCGAGAGAGCGTCAAGAAATATCAGCGACATCATTGAGAGGCTTGAGGGCGATGAATGTAAGCAACCACTCCAACCATGACGCGCAAGGCTGATCGGCTGTGACAAAGCCTATGACGGAAATGAGATCGAACTAGACAATGCGTTGTTCAAACTGGAGCGTTACTCAAATAGTATCTTCTGCGTTGGGGATCATTCACTCGCCGATATGTGCGCGACTCCCACCCAATGCTCCACGTGAATTCGGCTTCTTACGGCGGCGGATTTCAGATCCGAGGCCGACTGGGGCGTTGTCCAGCTCGCGGCGAAACTAACTCGACAAGTCTACTTAGCTGGTGACTTTTCCATGGACGGAGCTTACCGGCTAATCAGCCAAGCGGAGATAAGTACCCGCAACATCGATGAACGGGCATGTTAAAGCAACCTCCGTTCAGCGTCTTCTCATACTGCAGCCTACACAGCCACGTCATATTGTTGTAGTTAGTATCCGCGGCTCGGTGTCTTTGCGCAAAGACTGGGTCGTGAATCTGAATGCCGATACAATCGCAGATGATGAATTTCTGGTACGTCACTACCTAGCTTCTACCATATACATACTCAGGTTAAGATGGTTAGAAAGGACTGAACTCCAACGATCCAGCCTTGCCGGTCAGGATACATCAAGGGTATTTGAACTCCGCGAAGGAAATGATAGCTCCAGTGGTAGAGGCGTTGCATCATGTATTACTGCCCGGAGCCTCCGTGAATCAGCCGCCGGAGTTACTATTTACCAGCTATTCCGCCGGTGGTGCCGTTGCGGGGCTTCTGTTTGCTCACATCAAGTCTCAGTGCCGGCGGGATGGTTTGTTAGACATTTCAAAGAGTCTGCGCAACCTGTTGCCGAATACTTCACACAGGTTTGCTGACGAAGTGGTGCAGAATTTCATCGGATCCATTGCATTACGTTCGGCGCACCCCCTATCACCTTTCCAGCAATTACACAGGTAGCTTCGGGTCTTGGGCTATTCCTTGCATTCATAAACGAACAGGATCCAGTGCCCCGTGCAGACTCTAAGTACTTCGATTCACTCACGGAATTGTACTTATCTCCCGTCACAAAATCACTATGGGATCTTCCTCCGTTATCGGCATTTCCGGCAGGGAGGTTGGTAGTATTGAGAGATAGGAATTCTGATGGAGTAGAGGTTGATGTGACAGCAATTGATGTTAGCGTGAAGGAGCTGGAGGAGACGGTATTGGGGAATCCGGCGGCGCATAAGATCGTGGTCTATCTTGAGAGGATTGAGTTGTTGCATAAGAAGCTGGGAGTGTTTGTAATTTGATGCGGGGTGGATTCCAGATTATATAGTTGTGCAGCGTATACGTAATTGACTGCTGATTTCACATGGTGCGGGTATCAGGATCCACATCTCTCCCGACTCAGTGCGGGCCTTTGTTTTTTTTGTTCTCTTTGTGTTTGGAATATGCCTGGCAGTGACAATCTGGGTTATTTCGTAACTTTTCGTTTTGGTAACGTGCACAAAGTGGGGAGGAATGTGTGAAATAATAATATCTAAGAGTTGCTACGCGTATACGTACGCAGTTGATACAGAGATTTAGGCGGGTGAAGGACTTCGGAAAGGATATTACCCTCTCGACTTTGAAGTTCTGCTCGGGGGTCGTCTCCATAACCCCACGAAACAGATTCATCATACCTCATTATCAGTCGTCACAAACCCACAAGAACCTCTTCGACCTTCTCCTTTTTTCCGCACGTCACATCGGCACGCGGCTCTCTTCGAATTTCACCCACCGTCTGAACGCAATGAGTCAGCACTAAGCTGCAGCAACAAAAAGCCAAAAGTGACGGCAGGAAATACTCTACACAGTAACGTCAGTACCTCCTGCTGACCGAGAGCACACAAACCGGACACTCACATGCAGAACAGCCATACAACCTACAAGATCTGTACGAGTATGAATTCTTTGTCAGCAACCCAGTCGCGGTAGTAATACGCAGTTTTCATGTAGCAGTATGGTATGGCATTCGCCGGAATTACCACCGCTTGTGTATACCATGCGAAGTACCCTGAATGCAGAATCAGAATCAACGTCTCGGTTGTAGTCATGAGGTGGTATGACGTCGAAATGATAAGGAGGCAAAAGGCTACTGGCTTTTCCGGGAGTACTGTACAAGGAGATCCAGAAATCCAAAATTCGGAAGTAGGTGGCAATTTTGGCTTTGGTGTTGAAGATGCAGAGAGCATGGAGGATGTGAAGTAAAAACTAGAGAATAACGAGTTTAGTAATGCCAGCAAACCCTAGAAATCGTCAGAATGTTCAAACACCATGAACAGAACTATTAAAGCGGCACGCTTACCGTCGCGATAGATTCGATGACCGCTGGTACCTTCGCCAGTATCTTTTGCTGGTTAGAAAAATGGTTAAAATAATCGTTGCATACGTGATTGTGGTGCCGCTAGATTAGGTAACAAAGGATGAGGATTGCCATTGCTCGACGATGATATTGAACACCCGGAGTACCAGGTACAAGTACAGCGAAGCCCTGTTATTGGGAAGATGAGGAGGAGACATGATGACTGGTGAAAACAGCTTGAGGTGTGTACTGGTGTGTCGGAAAAGGTCATATTGACTGAAAGCAGGCACAGTTTGAAGATTGGCTTCGGTTCGGTAAGGTGATATGGGAGGAAAGTAGCTTTTATCAGTTCTTACCAAGTAGGTATGTAGTATGGGTGTATCCCCACATCATCTCCACCAGTAGAAACGCTGCTCCGCCTCGTTACCCAATACATCTCAGTCGTTTTGTGTAACAGTAGCAGTGCGCTATATTGATTGGTGCCAGACATCTCAGTGATGAGGTGGTAGGTGTTTGTATAGGTTAGCCCTAGCTATCGTTTACTCTAACACAAAATAGCTGGAGTTCTTCTCGATGAGGGAACACGGTAACGCTGTAAAGTGCTGAAGCATCGTCAAATAATATGTCTTATATCGGTTTTTTGGTTCTCTTGCACACGTACTCTCGCGCCCCCAAAAAAAATTTGACGAGAAATTCAGGAAACCAGAGCCCCCCATTTGTAGAGTATGTACTGCTGACATCTCAAGAGGGTAAGAAGGGTAGCGGATGGGGATCTCCACCATCTAACCAGCTCGCCCGGAGGCGGAGGGGAAGTGGGCACTGTCATGCTCTAGTTAGAGTGAATACAGTATGATTAAAAAAAATAATAATAAACTACTGACGTCTGAAAACCATTGTGTGATTGTTGAACGTTGCCATATAATGTTTCACAAAAGGCAAAACACCATGATCGGGTTCTATAGTGTAATGGTTAGGATTCTAACTCCGGCAATCCCGGTTCGACTCCGGGTAGGACCTTTATTTTTTTGCCTATGCCAATTCTGCTCTATACCATATCTACTTACTATTTGTCGAGACATATGTACTCTACAGATCTCAAACGTCAGAGCAATAGATCATTGTGTGAACTATGGCTATACCAAGGGTGAAGAAGGACTCTGGTTCCGCTGCGGCGAAATCGGGCAAGCCTTTGCATCTGCGGGAGGAAGACTCTACCGATCGTAGCTGGTAGATTTCAGCCAACCCCGCAAGGCCAGATACAACTGAGCCTAGAAAGCTGGAGGCCACATCGGGCGCGAGATCACCATGGATCCGCCGTTAAGCACGGACGATTCCATGATAATAACGACGCCCATTGATGACAGGTCTCGGGTAGATAGCAAGCGGGTTGAGGTGGTAAAGTTCCCGCTGACCGTGGCTATTTACTGTGCAAGGCGGCTGAGGGAATCGGGTCAGTTGTGACGAGCCCGCGCTAATACCGGGCGATTGATGCAATGGCCCGGCCTCCCATCATAAGCGATGAAAGTACGACGAGCCTGGCCTTAGTGGCAAACAGAATAGCGACGAGCCTGGACTTAATAGTCGTAAGTAGTAGAACAATGAACCCAGGCCAGTCAAATAACAAGTTGTAGAACTGACAGCACTTCATGGTCCTCGGCAAAATAAAGTGTAGATACTTTCTCAGTCCCTGAGTTTCCTGGCATATAAGCTAGCCAGCAGCTACAGCAGCTCTTCAGTCATAGTAACTACTCTTCAGTTTCCTTGCATGCTTCACAGTCTAAGAGTTCAAAAGAACTTGATCAATGGCAACCAAAATGCGCAATCATAAGACTCTGCACATGGTAAAGAGGAAAGAGAGAGAGAGAGCACGATTGTAGAAAAAGGAGTTGGCCGCACCCCTGGCCACACAATCTTCCTCCGCGCGACCGTACTCTCAAAAATCACTCGATTTCTCGCGAGGTTTGATTATTGGTTGATGGTTGATTGACCTGGACTCACCCAGGCTCGTCGTATTTGCATAAATGGGCTGGGCTGGGCCAGTGACGACAGGCCTGGCACGAGCCCGGGCTCGTCACGACTGGCCCGATTCCCTCAGCCACCCTGCACAGTCCTAACGACTCTTCTTGGGCTTTGGAATCGGAGAGTGCATGTAAACATGGTTGGGCCGGGTAGTGGATGTTTTCATTGCCACAGTAGGCATTTAAGATCAGTCTGCGCACATGTTGCACCACGTGTGGGTGATAAAAAAGGACATTAGACATAAACGGTGACAGCAGTGATCGTATACATGACAGTAACACGTCAACTTCACAAGGCTCATAAACCTACCGCATGAGAAGAAATCTGTGCTTGAATCATGTGATATTGTATGTCCAGTTCGGGCGTTGACGGGCTTGAACTCGGGTACAGAATGATGGTTCAAGAGAGCGACTTGCTGTGGAACAAACCTCTGTACAAACACTCCATACAGTATCTCACGCCGGATATGCGTATAATCATTTCTTTTATCCACACTTAACAATAATTAAAGTACCAGTTAGTGCTCGCAAAGCTTCAAATCTACCCAACTAGGAGCTCTGGAATAATCGAAGGTCACCTTCGATTATTAGGTATGGTCCTCATATTTGTGGAAGAAGGGCGGTACCGGTATAACTTATAGCGGAGTCCTACAATAAAGATAACCGGTTCATAACTTGCCCGCCCAGGTTTGGGATCGGCTGCACCGTGGCTGTAGGCGAATTCGCCCCAGTGTGAGTAAAATTCCAGATACATGTAATGTGAACTTTATTCTGGCAAGGCGAATGACATGGTCACTCGGTCGAGTTCGGTCAACTATGTGGAGGATTAAATGTTATAACCTGCCACCGTCAGGCGCCGGAGCTACGTGGATTTGGTTTTGAATAGTATGTGTAGGTCTACATTTTGTTGTCGTAGTGCTAGTGGGAATGAGCTGGGCCTGAAAATATTTTAAATAATGCGATCCTGGTTAAGAATGCTAGGTTACCACTCAAGTACCAGAATGGTGACATTGAAGGCATAGGGCGTTGCACACATTCACATTATAAAGGCTGTGTAGTGCTCTCGCAAAATTGCGCACAACCAGTCAACTCCACAACAGTCAGATATTGGGCTGGTCTCCTGGCATAAAGGTTGTATATATACTGAAGACGGTAGTGGAAATGACATTGCCCCCGAATGTAGAGTGATGTAGCCATGAGTTTCATGAATAGAGGGCGTAAAACACCAATGTCTGTGTGTATATACATACTCCGTCTGAAAGTAGTACAAAACTCCATGCGCGCGCGCGTACGTTCTCTAGCTCTAAATGGCACCCTGCTTATTGTAACAGGTTGGAATGAAGTTCGAGCAATACCTAAAGCAGATACTGTTTGAAATAGGTAGTAATATAGACGCCGCCACCTGGGAATCTTTTGGCGGTACTGCTTTCGATTCCGTTAATGCTACTTCAAGCCCTAATTTGTCTCGAACTAGATCTTGCTGCGTCACATGGCCGTCACTCGTTCCTAGTTTCAGATTTCGAATTCGTCACTTAGTCTTCAGCCGTTTCGAAAATTTCCTACACGCGAGACACCATGTGTCGACACTCTCCTACCGTTATCAGTACTTTCCAGTACCTGCTTTATAGGTGACGCATAGAGAAGAATAACTTGCCAAATTCAGATCGAAATCAAAGAGAACTTCCAAAAAGTTGTTCTGGGTCTAGACTGACAAGCAGCATGCACGTGCATGGAGCAGGAGGACACATTCGAACTCACTGGCAGTTGACTGCAGGGCGAGGCGATTTACAGTTTGCGTCTTTGAACGCAGTAATAGGTACTCGATGACGAGGCTTGGGCTGAAAGTCATCGATTCTAGTCGCATATGACCGCACGCCATCGATGCGTCTCGGGCTGGTCCGTCACACTGATCGCAACGGAGATCTCGCAATATCAACTTTTATTGGCTACAGATTAATGGCAGAAGCACAAGGTCGTGTCACAACAGAATTTCAGTTAGTGCGGCTGAGAAACAAATTGAGCACCGTGAGACAGCCCCCTCTGTGCGCACTCTTATAGTGGTCAGTTTTAAGCAAGCCATACCCACTATATCTAATCTATGGCAATTAGATTCGACATCATCCAAATCTGAACGCGACATAGTCGAGAGGCTTTGCTACATCTATATCGTCACTATAGCTATATCTGCCACTGTTTTTGGCATGACTAAGCGTACGCCATCGTCGGCGCGGGCTCTCAATTTTGTTACACTCGGTTCTCCTCCGCCAAAATACACTCATAAGTACGTTGATCCATCCCTCCATGAAGTTCAAACTGAGCTCACACCAACGTTTTGGGTGATTTGTAGCATAATAGTTGTACCTAGATATGGCGAGCATTTTAACTCACACAATGAACTTTCCTGGGCGACAAATGCTACCAAGCAACTACCGTCTGCTCGTCTCTTGATGGTTGAGTATGACTTCAAAACGATCGCCATCAATCCAGTCGATGCGCTGGTAACATCATTTATCGATCTTTGTGGAGATATAGAACAGGCAGCGGTGAGACATAAATTAATTAGCTGAAATCTCTAATTTGAGAAGTTTTCTGATTGTACTAACAGGAACACAACTCGCCCATCATATTCGTAGCTTGGGGTTTCGGAAGACTGATAGTCTCTGAGGTTTGTGAGCCAGAATTCTGTGAGATTTACACTAATGTTTTGTACAGGCCATCAGCAAGCTTAAGGCGACTGAGTCTAGACCAGAAATTGAATGGTTCCAAAGATCGGCCAGAGAGATTTTGGATCCCGAAAGTGCATTGAAGCCAGCGCCAAAGCCAAAGGGGTTGACACCACGTCTACACGTGATCGACCTGGCCATAAACGTGGCTCAAAAGGTAGTGTTTACCTTCCGCCGGAGTCAAGATTCGCCTTCTCCCGAAAGAGTCAAAACCACCCCTACCTGGCCTGTCGGAGAGGGCAAACAAATTAACGTCTTCCTGAAATCCTTGGAAGAACTGTGTGGCGAAGTCGGAATACCCACCAGGATTTCTCTACAGCGGGCCCCCACCCTACCAGCCTCTAGGAAATCCGCTCGAGAAAAAATTGATGCGATATCAACCAGGGTATGGTCCCATCTCCTTAGGATTTCCTCCGTAGCTATAGCTGATTAAATAATATATTAAGATTGCTGATGAAATCTCATCGAAAGAAGGGATCGTCGTAAAACATTGCCAGTATGACTCCCAGATGGCTCACGACTACAAAGGCAAGGGAATATGTCACACTATATATCTCATTATTGCGGAATTACAAAGACTCGAAGTTCTGCAAGAGGCTACAGGGTCGCAGGAACCCATTCACTGCGTAAGCGCAACAGATCTCGATGATGTAAGTCCTTTTTGAAATTGATGTCAGGTGGGACTCAAATCTAAAACTTACGCAGGCCAAACCTACGATCGCGAAGACCGAAGCTGACCTACCCTTAAGCCAAACTCCTCCCGTTGACATCGATATCCAGGAAAGCGGGAGCATTCGATCCTTGAACATCACATCACACCATAATATCCATGAATTGAATAACGTTGGCGGACAATTCACGGATTCTGGTTTTGAGAGGTGGAGCTGCGACAGTAGCACCGATTTAGATGTTGGACATCCCTCGGTTCCAGATCCTAGCACCTTGCGAAACGATGATTTAAATGAGCTCCGAGATTTGCTTGGTGAATATAGAGTTTCTGATGAGGGCAATGCGTTCGAGCGGGTACCGGCGACGGATGGCAACTGGTCAGAAATACGACGAGAGTTACCGTCAGAACTTCAGCTTAACATTTACTTTCAAAACAACGTTTGGGTATACACTGGTCCCGGCTCTGAGGAGACTGAGCCACCCATCGAAATCCCTTTACGGATAGCCGGAGCTCCTGTTATTACAATGCCTCGCGTAAAGCCTTTCTGGCATACCGGGGGAGAATCAATTCCAGATCCCGTCCCAGAACCGGCCGATCCGAAGTCTC